GGTATTTTGAGGATTAGCTCCGTTCTTAAAGGCCCTTAGTGGGAACCCTTACCCAAGGAGACGGAAATCCGTGAGGTAGGGGAGGTGTGACATTTTTAGGGTCGACCTTTTCTAACCCTTCCTTCCTTGTGAGAAGGGAGCATCACTGCAGATGCTGGTTGTCTGATGGAAACACCTTACTGATGTCATACCTCTCTGCAGTCAGCAGTACGACTTCACCCTCAGACCTTGGGTAGCTGCTTTTAGTCTCATCGCTTCTCCAATCGACCATGCCTGTCATGGTAAGGACCTGCAGGAACATATGTTCCAGCCAGTATAGCTCGGTTGGGTCATCACGATAGGCAAGCCCGACCACCACGTCAAGGTAGCAGCTACGGTCGGGAAATGATTTATATGTTTTTAATCATACATCCTTTGCTTTCCTTGTCTGTGTGACACATACGTATTGTGCCTATTTGTATCAACATATAGGTTTTCAAATACACAAATATGTTAAATGGTAAAACATTCCCACCCTATAAGGGTCAATATCAGCACCTAGTTGGCGTAATTAAATTAAAGACGACATGATTTTAAGCCTTAGATCAATGGAAAAGTTATTGAAATAGATTTTCTAAAAGTGTTCACCAAATAAGGACTGAAATCATATACCCTTTAACTGACTTTTCTACTAGTATGTAAACTTCAGAAATAGATAAAGAAACTAACTTGAATTTGTTTTTGTACGATTAGGAGAGATGCTGTTAGAACCAGGTCGGATATTTAGGCGCATTTCTAATTGCCGTTTACTCATATTGAACATTTTTGCTTTAGAAACAGCTTCTATGAGGTGATTATCTGAAAGATATCCAGTGTTAGTAAGATCGCAGATAGGCCGATGTCCCCATGATTCACCATCACTGAATTCACTAGAATAACTTGTATCTGTTAATGCATTTTGACCATTCAAATAAATATTCACTGAATTCCCAAATTTGTCTGATTTTCTAATCGGAGAAATATGGACAGATTTATTTTGGCTACCATGTACTCGAGTTATCTGGTTTACTGGCATAACCATTGAAGCCAGAGTGGGTGGGTGAATCTGTAAATATTCTGGTAAGCAATGGTCATTCTGTAAAGAAGTTTGTGGGGATTTCGACTGAGATGAATTATTTGGGCATACATGTTCAACAGAATTTGATGTGCCAACCTTCAGATAAATAAAAGTAATAATAATTGGTAATGCAATCTCATATTATTTAAGTTTAGCGTTCAAGTTCTTCAAGGAAAAATCTACTATGGTTTCCGAAAAGAATGATGGATTTACAACAACATACATAAAAAGATGATTGGTGTGGTACTGGTGAGGCAAAAACTGTTTATTAAAACCATTTTCATAGACCGTGTAAACAGACTGAAAACCTCTTGACAATTAACAGTAATAAATTATATAGTCATTAACTAATGTATACAATTTATTCATATTATTGTTCACTGATAAATTATATTTCTAGCATCAACTTCTGATGATCAACAATAACTTAACAATAGCTTAACTTCATGTAAATCAGGAGATCTTTGAAAATTTCTCAAATAAACACTTGCGATTGAATAAATGAAGTAACTATAGAAATCTAAAAGAATGATTGATGCAACTATGACGAGAAGGGTTGTGTAAAATGATTAGCATAATCTATTTTTTCATTCTATGAAGATTCACATACGTTATCAAGTTGATAAGCTAGCACGTTTATGTTCTTATCATAAATTTCAACATTTGTTTAACCAATAGCTATAGACTTAGACATAAAAAAGCAGTGAACAAACAACTTATTCCCCATCTTACGTCAAATAAAAAATACTGACAAAGAACATATGAATGTGCTACACTTATTGAGTAAAATTTATTGAAATTAACTAATTCATCATGTACTTAGGTATGAGCCATACTCCAAATATGAGGACCAATAATACTACCTGGTTGTCGAAAAAGAAGTAGATTGAACGCCCTAACCACTAGCCCATGTGCTTCATGTAGAAGCAGAAGATGCTACTCAACTCCATAAACCTCAATGAATGAAATGTATATTGAGCATACGATTAGATTTTCGAACCATTGGTCAACAGCTCGAAATAAATTCTAATCAAAGTATCCAGAGTACCATATTGGAAACAGAATAATTATTCCTTATAACACTATTTCAAGTATCCGATAACATGTACATAACAATGATAATAAGTACGGAATAATACTAACCTTGGCAAGGTAGAGTTTAACAAGATTCGAAGATAATGGACTATCGGGGAGAATATAATCTGAATATTTAAAAGGTAATAAACTAGATGGCTGAGCCACTTTTGCTACTGAATCAGAACAGGAACTTGGTACTTTAGGGGAAATTTCTGGAGTCGAAATACAGCTATGTAGTGGATGGTCTACAACCGTAGCGATTGAAGATTTCCTTGAACGTAAACCATAACCACTTATTCTACGTTCTTTGACATCTGATAAACTTTTAGACGGTGGGAATCCACTTTGCTCATTGTTTAACTTCCACGAAACACCCCCGTAAAGCCCATCAAGAGCTGGAAAACCTTCAGAATGTACGATCGATGGATGGCGAATTCGGGTGGCAGTAGGTAATTGTCCAAACTGAACATTACTGGAAATTTTAGGAAGCTAAACGACAACAGGAAATATTTATTGCAAATTAGGTTCTTAAAATTATTATAATCCATACCTCCAGAAAATCAGAAATATTCTTATATGATATCTATTCCATACACATCGATTCTTAACCATAGTTGTATGTAGCTTTTTACAAGCCTTACCTGTGGCACAGAAGACAAGTTCGTCTGCTTATCAAGGAGAGAGCATATCGTATAGCACTTTCCTCTATATTACTTCTTAGCCTTTGAAGATAAAAGATATGTAAACACCTTTAGCATTTGATTATGAGTAAATGGTTCAAAAATAAAATATGACAGCAGAGCGTGAAGTTATTATTCGTCGACATTACTATCACTTTGATGCTTCTACAGTTCTTGGTGTTAAATTCAGTGCCTATGCAAAGTATAACGATTTGGAATAATGTATATTTGTATCACGTAAATAATACTATTTCACTGTGACACAATTCGACTCTTACTCAAATCGTAAAACTTCTCCAGTGAGGCATAACATTCACCAATCGAATGAGAATACAAAATATTCTTTAACACACTTGAGTGATATTGACTTGACGGACAAGCAATGGCATGCTCCATGTGAAGGGAAGCTACAGAATTTCAATTAGTTCACCTTCATTTTCATTCTCAGATCACCCTAAGAACTGTATCATAGAAGCGCCCAAACAATTGAAGTGGTCAAACAAATATGACCGTATCGGATCGAAATCCTGACCACTTTCGATATGCTAATTGCATTCATGTCTAAAATACAGGCGGTCCCATGAAATCTACCAAATCTACCAAGTTAAACTGCATTTAGGCGTAAAAAATAAATGCCAGTTCTACAGTACATGAAATTCAGCGGAGCTACAGTACTGTCATCCATTAAGCTTACACTACTGAATAATCCTTTTTCTGAGTGGTCTCACAACGAGTGAGCAATAGCCCAGAGACATCTAACTTCGAATAACAACAAACAACAAACCCTAGCTTATAGGAACTAAACCTTAAACAAAAGAGAAAGTGGACTCGTCGAAAATCTGTCACATATTGAGTTTCCCAATAAGCAAAAAGGGACAAACTTTTTGTAATATCACTCAGAAAGCAATTAGGGTTATGTCATGCTTGTGAAGTACATATAATCTTTATTCAGAAGTGACAGAAAAAATAAAAAGATCAAATTCAAGTAGGAAAGATATAAATCAGTTGTAACCCTGACTCACCTCTGAGTATCCAGCAAATGATAATGCGCGCTTCCGACGGACAGGTGGTTCTGACATGAACGGATATGAATTCGATAGGCAACTTCGACCCAGTTACGGGTTGCGAAACGTTTCTGTAGTGCATTTTAACAAGAGGCAAGCCATTCAGTTCAAAATAATCAAATTTAATGTCAGTTGGATTAAACCCAGTAAGCAGATGACCAATGATAAGTAAGTGAATCAAAAAGTGTAAAGTAGGCTGGTCTAGGAAATGCTAAGCATTGTATGCAAATATCTGATACGAAACTACATGTTTTTGATAGTAATGACTGAAAAATCTTTAACTGTAACGAATTTTTTAGTACAATAAAGCACCGATAATGCCACACAAAATGAAGGGATGAAATGTTTAGGCTATAATTTATGGACAAATCAGTGAAATTAAGATGGGAAGTTTTGGGTTTTGGTGTAATTTCGGTACTACAGATGGTATCAGTTATTCATGACAACATTGACTCTAATTCCTAACCTTACCCACCTGGAGGTCTTCAATAAATAATAAACTTGCCTAGCTTAGACCAAATGAGGTGTTGTAGGCTTTAAAAACTTAAAGGTTTAGAACTAAATTTCACCGCGGTAACGGGATGATGGGGAAATTAAATGTCACATCACAAACAATCTACTCAATCCACAAATCCGCTTGTCCTTGTGAAGGGCTATATATAGCCAAGTCATCAAGAGATTGGACTATGAATCGAGTTGCGAATATTGAAGTTTATAGGTGATCCTGATCAAGCTTTTTGAGTGTTTTATCCCAGCATGAAATAAATTTCTACGTGTCGACTAATCTAGTATTACATAGCCCCTAATCAAACTGATGGAACGCAAACATTTACAGCAACTAACGGCAGCAACGGATATATACTTTAATAACAATTTTCAAACCTAAGTTTATAATTCTTAACAAAAGACATTCCAGTGGGTTTGTGAATTCCGATGAATAATTGCTCATGGGTGACAAATAAATGTCTGCGTTTATACAGTTTTTAGGGATAAATACACCAGTTAAGAAAAGCCAACCAATCCCAGTTCATCAAAAGGTTTCTTTTCACTCCATTATTGGTATGTGTGATGGATTAAAAATAACTGTGCTGTGACACGTATGACTGAATTGATGCCTTCTGGGATAATAAAACTCGCCTGTTCGTTAGAATTCCATGAAATTTCGTGGGGAGAATTATCTGGACATAATGATCATGTGGTCGAAAGAAATAAGAATGATCTTTCTTCCATTATAACTAATGGTGGTTCATAATAAAAACCTTAGTAGCATATACACAGGTCCTAGGTATCCACGTAAAGTGTGTCTCACTATAATCGTGTTACTTTGTCAGAAATTGCTTCAGAACCAAACACTTGGACGAAAAGAAGCTCAATATTATCCATATACTTTACTTCCGCCAAACGTTTTATTCTAAAGAACCTTATGTATACTTAAAAAGTTAATTTGAAGCTAGATACACGAAGCAAAAAAGCCAGACTAAGTCTATCAATGATCAGGTATGAAATTCGGGAGTAGGAACTTACCGTCCGACACCTATAAAGAGGAGACTTTAGAATCTTAACTAGTTTCAAGGTCACAGTTTCAAATATGACCTCCTTTGTTCAATCCAATATATTCAATATCTTTTTCACGAGCTACTGTAAACCGATTGATTTCTTTGCGCTCAATTCCTGTTCTTTCGGTACGGTTTCAAGTGTTCGATAATGTCCAATGGATGGAGGTCTAGCCACTCGACTGTCTAATTCTGGTAAGTTAGCAGTTGGTTCCATTATCAAATGAAAACGATTGTTTCAAGGCAGTAGGGTTTCTGAATAACAGAAGCTATCACATTGCCAGACCGGAGATCAGTTAGTTGCAATGTGGAGAGTAGTAAGGATAATAAGGATAAAGTTCTAATGCTAATATGAACAAAATTTCAGAACTGAGTAATATATAGATGAATTTAGTTTCTTAATTGGTAGTGAAGATTGTGAGATAGGACCGTAGTGTAAGCAAGGGGGAGAGAACAGAGATGAGAGGCGAGATAGATTAAGCAAATGATCTGAGGAGATGACAATGATAACAACTAGCAGGTCTCAAGATATGCATCATGAACAGCTTGTCCAAGAGGGAGATGATAGTCCGAATGTGAGCACGTGATTATCAAGTCTCTTCTTAAGGCTGTCTACTGATTTTAGCCTTATCACCAACTCAGCTGCACACCCCTATATTTCGTTCAAGAGATTAGTGTACATTTTCAGGAGAGGGGCTGCAGCAATCGACTTTAAAGTTGGAGCTTGTAATGATTTCGAAATCAGTTAGAAAGAATGGTGTGTTGAATGCAACAAGATGTATTCGGATCAAGTGAATAACTGCGTTTATCTTAACGTCGTGCCTCATATAGTTTCGTATAGTGTCCAAAATCTCTGAGACATTTCTAATGGGACTTGCATCAAGGATGTAAGTTGTTTGTGTCACACAGATCAGAATGTTCACGACGTGAAATTTTAGCTGGCTAAGTCCCATCTTATTGTATACTGTCAATTCCTCCATGGTTGTGAAGTCCTTTTGAAACTCATATAAATCCTTTCCGCTTTCGATGGAACTCCAGATCTTTGCGACTGTGCATAGATAAGTGCCGCTGAGCTAATTACATTTTAAAGGTCATTGATAGATGTCAGGGAAAGGATTGGACTTCAGATGGTCCACATTGAAACTCCAGTTGTTGAAACTCCCAAGCCCGCATGCATACAATGGTACGAACTTCCTGTTCTCTAGATAGTTTCTGAGCCAAGATATAAATGGGTCAGTGAACACTATCTTCAAAATTTTCGCCTATGGAGCGCTTGGGGGCTATGTTGTCTGACTTCGCGAAGTCAAGGGTTGTAACATGGACCGGTGTTTTCGGTCCGAGAAGGTTTTTCAGACCTTCTAGTGCTATATGAAGACTGTACACTCAGGAACTACACTTCCTATGCCTATGTTCAACCTCATGGAAGACAGTGTTCTTGCCCAAGTGTTCGCTTACATGTCAATTTACCAGTCCTTCCGTCACCTACAACAGTACTGATAGTAGTACCTCAGGTCTTTTACAGGTTAGCTTCTTCCTTGATTTCCCTCTGAAGATCAGAGAGAGATACTCTAGTTTCACTCTCGTATGTGCCTTGTTCAACTGGTCAATGAAGCTGGCAATAAAGTTCTTAGCCATATTAAGATGGTCAGATCATTTTCATATAGAACCCTAACAGCACGAGCAGACTAGTGAGTAGGTTTTCTTCAAGTTGTGAATACGTGAATATGTATAGGGACAACTTATATTTTTGCCGCTATCCGATCTAGAAATATCTTTTGTCACTTCAGTTTTGGATGTTGCATCTGTTTCTCAACATCACATAAGAGCTACACTCACGATCTTGTGAAGAAGCTCAGCTTAATGTCTTTTTTGATCTTCCTCTTCTCTCTGACCTTAGAAATCCCAAGTAAAGGCTTATCGTGGCTGCTTTCTGCAATGTGTGTCCGATCCACCTCCATCGCTTCTCCCTAATTTATACCTCTGCTGGAATCTGGTTTGTTGTATTTCAGAGTAGGTTGTTACTGATGGTGTCTGACCAACGGATCCGAAGTATCTTGCATTGACAACTGTACTTGTATCTTCCGGATGATGACTTTTGTAGCTCTCCAAGTTTCCGCCCCACAAAGTAACACAATCCTAATATCTGTATTAAAAATGGTGACTTCGGTGTTTGTTGGTAGTTGTTTTGAGTTGCCGACGTTCTTCAATAGAAAGGCCGCCCTAGCTTTGGCGATTTGCATCAGATCCACCTTGCTCATCAGTTATGCTGCCCAGATATGTAAAGGTTTCTACAACTTCCGTAGCTTCTCCGTCAAGTGTGATTTCGTCGGTGCGTGTTGTGTCACATCTAAGGATGTGATTTTTCCCTTTTGTGTAAGTTGAGACCAACGGCTGTGGAGACCACTCCCACACTTGCCGTCTTCTGCTGGATTGTTGTTTTGTGTGGAAAGGAAGGTTAGATCGTTCACCTGCATCCGAGCTGTCCACTGTATCCGTTGATATCTCTGGCATTTCGACATCTTCATAATTCGGTCGACCACTAGTAGAAAGAGAAATAGTGAGAGTAAGCAACCTTGCCTGACACCACTCTTCACTTGAAACGCCCTCATGTCTGTGAGGCCTCCACAGAGTCTTCCTTTCCACTCTGTCGAATGAGTTTTCGCAGCCAATGAAGTTGTGGTATAGTGGTGAGTTTCATTCAATTGATTATACCACAACGGTCCATATTGTCGCGATTTGGCCGGTGCGGTTAAGAATTCGATTTTGGAAGCGTCACATGTTTTGTAGTTTAATCTTTTTTGGAGGTGCTGTCTTGTTGATAGATGTTGTTTCGA